CACCCATTAATTTCTCATTCTAATTTTCATTTTCATTCTCATTCTTCATTTAAACCACACATTCTATTAATAAAATAATATTACATATAAACCTAAAAATTTTCCTTACTTTTTAACCACATATTCTTCCATCAATCACTATTCAAAAACACATTCTTCTACCAAAATGGGTGTCAAACACCCCCTTAATGTGTTCTTATCCAAAACAACTTTTTCTTAAGTCGAAAACTTCTAATTAATTACGAGCTACAAAAAGAGTCAAATATTGATATACTAAATCTCACTCTATCGATATCTAATTATTTGGTCAAAATAAAATTGATTTTAAAACCTATTTCATTTTAGTCCTCATTTTTTTTTTTTCAAATTTTAAAAAATATAGCATATTAAAACAAATAAAATTTTATTCTAAAATTTTCGGGGCGTTAAAATGGATGCCAAACTGGGGACTTAACATCCTTTAGGATTTCTATGGAGATGGAGTTCAAGGGCGTTCCTTATTCTCTTTAGAATTGTAGTTATGCTTTTATAATTAATAAAACTACTATTCTTATATAAAAAGTTGTATAAGTGCTGCCGGTGCTTTTGATTTTTCATTTGTTTTTCTCAATTTATATGCACTGCCATTTTCATTGGCAACTTCCAAGTTTTGTCACTTATTAGTGTTTGGTTGAGAGAGATTATTTGAAGTGAAAATGAATTATTATTATTATTATTTTGGTAGAATGCGTGGTTAAAAAGTAAGGAAAAGTTATGGGTTCACATACAAAATTATTTTGTTGAGAGAACGTGTGATTGAAAATGCATTTGAGGAAAAAAAATTCAAATAAGTTGTGCCAAACAAGCACTAAAAGTTTATATGTATATGGTGCGTTAATTTTTGTTAATAGTAATAGTATATCGTGATTAGTTCGATTATCACATTGCAAAATGTACGTATCTTGATTAGTATATCGTGATTAGTTGGATTATCAAGTTGCAAAATGTACATATCATGATTTGTTTCATGTGAATTGGAATACTGGACATTTGTATAGTTTCACTAGTTCTTTAGTAGAGTGGTTAGTTGAGTTCAATTCAGTCTGCCAACCTTTTTAACTCGTGCGTGGTGGATACTTCTTTCACCAAAGCCATTAAAATCAAGCGAATAAGCAATATCCCTCTTGGTACTGATATGATGCTGCTGTGGTTATATTTATCAGCAGTTCTATGTTAGCCATTATCTAATACCAACATGAAGGATATATTTATCTTCTGTATGATTTTCTACCTTTAATTTTGAAGAATTTCATGGCTTTCTTAATTTATTGGTGAACTAAGGTTAAGAGCGTAATTGTGTTAGATTTGGGCATAACAGCATTTTTCTTACCTTATTTGCTGAAGCTTCATAATAACATTATAATTTTTGGTATGGTCGGTTGGATAGAACCGAAGAAAAAAATCCGGAGTCTTAACCGGTCCTCCATGCCAAAGCTACACTTCATGAGAATTCTTGGATTCGGGGTTTGTACCAATCTTCAGTATGTGTAATTCAAATCTGCATACCCACCTCTGTAAAAGAGGGGAAAGAAATGAGCTTAACTTTCCCGCCACCCAAAAAGAAAATAGTACAAAAATAAAGACAAAAATAACGAGATTTGAGTTGAATGAGTTATTTAAATCCTCCACAACCTATTATTCTTAGATGGGTGACCATTTCCGCATGTACTTGATTCTTTGTGAAATTATATCATCTAAGTCTCTTCGTCTTGAAATGTACGTCCATAAATACTTGTGCAGTTTCCAGTTGGTAGGATACATCGTCTTTTGAAGGAAAGAACCATGGCAAACGGGAGGGTGGGAGCAACGGCGGCCGTCTACTCTGCAGCAATATTAGAGTATTTAACTGCTGAAGTGTTGGAACTAGCCGGCAATGCAAGTAAGGATCTGAAAGTGAAACGTATTACTCCAAGACATCTCCAGCTTGCAATTCGAGGTGACGAAGAACTCGATACTCTGATCAAAGGAACCATTGCCGGAGGAGGTGTAATTCCACACATCCACAAGTCTCTCATTAACAAATCATCCAAGGACTAGTTTTATTTCGGCATGTTTGCTATTTTCTGTCGAGGTTTCTTTTGAACATTCTTATGTGTACATTTCTTAGTGAAATCAATCATTTTAACTTAGTAAATACTCGACTATTTGCCCATGTTTGTGCATTGCTTTGTAAATATGTAATTTTCACTAATTTTATTTGACGCCCCTTTTTGTCATTTTAAAGAGTTTCATATTTTTAATAAGTGTTATATTAATAAAAAGTTATCCACCACCTGACGTACGGTAATATGTACCAAGTATTTGAACCAAAACTTACGATGTGTACTGAGTGAGACTACAAAACATCTAATCATATCTCCTACATCCAATTTCAATAATTTGAAATCTCCTGATTTGTCTTCGTCTATTTTTTCATAGATGATTCCAAGCGTGGGTATGAGAAGAGAATCATAGTAGATTTTTTTTAGCAAATGAATCAAGTTATTATGGACTTTTTTTTAAGTAGGCGACTTTTGTTGATTTTATGGACTTTTAAGTGATT